CTCGGGCCACCCGAGGGGTGTTCATGGCGTTGCCCCCCCTTTCCCCACCCCGTGCCCATCCCTGTCCCTCGGCAGCCCCAGGAAGCACAGGCACACACAGGCAGCAGGGAGCACTTTACCAAGCTGGCGAGATAAAAAGTACAACATTCCATAGTTGGCACCTTGGCGGCCCCCGCCCGGGGGCAGGGCTGTCCCGTCGGTCGGGCTCTTCCCGGGACCCCACTGCCTTCCCAGTGGGACAGCCGCAGCCAGAGGGAGCAGGGAGCGAGTGGCCAGGGACGAGCACTCAGCCAGGAAGAGCCCATTCCTCTGGCCACGAAAATGAGGATCTCCATCCCATGGCCATTTTCCATCCCACGGCTGATCTCCATCCAACAGCCTGTCTCCATTCCATGGCCAGTCTCTGTTCCACAGTCGACCCCTGGCCCAGCAGCCAAGATCCACCCTGGCCCATCCAGACATTTCTCCGCAGCAGCATCAGCCACTCCGGCTGCCAGCAGTGCTGGGGGTATTGCAGGGGGGTCCCTGCCCCATGCTTGCCCCCAGCCCCCTTTGCCGGCTCCATCCCTGGTTTCCTGAGCAGTCATGTGCAAAATGTACCCGTCCCCAGAGCTTCCCAATCCCTGCTCCGGCCCCATCCCGTGTCAGAGCTGTGCCACTGGGCGGGGCCACGGGATGGGGGCAAAGTGTGGACATTCATTAGAGCTTTTTTTTGTGGGCTTTTTCTTTTTTTTTTCCTGAGTTTCTCAGCCTGGATCTTAATTACAGGCTTAAATCTGCAGCCATGGGAGAGGGAAGGAAGTAATGGGCAAGTACTGGGAGGGAGGGGAGGGGAACCAACCGGAGCCCTTGTGTGGTCAGATCCTGTGTGAGGGTGAGAACAGGAGGTGTTTGCCCAGGCTGTGCTCCCCGGGGTCCAGAGCCTCGCCCCTCGGAGCAGCAGCTGCCATGGTGCCTCACTGCCACCCAGACCTACACCACCGCTCCCCCAGCACAGAAGGGCTGGAGTGTGCAGAAATAAAGTGGAAATTTCCCTAAACACCCCGTTTCCTTGTCAGCCGCAGCCTGGCCCTTCCTGTTGCTCCGGGCGCGTGGCCGTGCTCATGTTTGGAGCTGGCTTTTCCTCCCCACCCTGCCCTGGTCCCAGTGGCTGTCCCTGCCCTGCTGCCCCTCACCACGGCCTCTGTCACTGGCAGCTGAAGCTCCCATGCTGGAGCCAGGCCAAGAAGAAGCAGCTGGTGGTGAGCGGGAGAAATCCCATCCAGGGATGTGCAAACCCTCCTGTGCACGTGCCCTGGTGGTGTGTGTCCTGCTTGGCCTCGCTTAGCTCCCCAGCAACTGGCGGGCAAGGTGAGTGGTGGGCAATCCTGGAGGAACCCGGGGATCACTGGGCAGGTGGTGAGCAGTGGGCAACCCTGAAAGGAACCCCAGGAGTCACTGGGGAGGTGGCTCAGGTGACAACCACCTGGATTCAAGCCACCACCTCAGTAGCATCCCAGGATCTCAAGTAGCTGGGGCAGCAGGAGAAGCTGTTGCAGGGTCCATTAGGTTTAGGGTGGCAGAGCTGGGGATGAACTTCCTTCCCATTTCCTTCCTGTGGTGCAAGGCCCCCTGCATTCCTGTCACCTGCAGTCAGCAGCCAGGTGCAGGGCCCCCGGTGCAGGGAGCTGGCGGGGAGTGGGGCAACTGCTGGAACCTCTGTATGGTGCAGCTGGTGGGGCTGGCAGTGGGGGTGACCCCGGGGTTTGCTTTTGGACTGAGAGCTGAGGAGCTCCAAAATGCAGCATTTTGGGGGCTTTCGAGGGGTGGGGTTTTGGCTTGAGGTGGTGGCGCTGGCCGCAGACGCCGGGTGCCAGTTCCCCGTGTGGCAGGGAGGGTGCTTGGGGAGATGAGGGTGAACCTCCTGTGACTCTTCAAAAGCAACCGCAGATCCAGCTGAACCCCTGGCGTCTTTCCAAAGTGCATCTGTGTGTCCAGCCGAACTCAACCAGAGGATCTCTGCTTGGGAAACTCAAGGTACAATGTCAAAGGGAAGAGAATCAAACATCACCACCACTGTGCATTAGAAAAGCTGTTTAAAGTACCACATGCCGAAGGGACCAAAGTCTCAAGCTGCTTTGCTGCAGGCACGGGGTGACACCAGGGGCTGTGGTCCCGCTCTGCTTCCTGGGTGGGCATCTTCAATCCCAGGAGCTGGCTCAACTGGGGCCAGTCCCAGCCACCGGGATGCCTCTTCCCTTCTGGGAAGGGCCCAGAGACATGGGGGCTTGGGCTCTAGCTGCTGCCTCTCTGCCAGCAGCTCTCCAAGTAAGAAACAGAAGCAGAACCCCTGGCAGGACACGGGGGCCCCTGGCAGCCAGAACAGCCCCTCACAGCACTACCTCCACAGCCATCGCCACCCCTCCGGCTGGAGGGGCCCCTGCGTGGTCAGGGCTGGCTTCTGGGGCTGTTTGCACTGTCCAGCTCGGGGGCAAACTCTGTGATGACCCTCCGGGCCAGTGGGTTTGTGGTCTTGAGCAGTTCAGCGGCAGATGGCCGGGTACCGGGGCTGGTTTTGCTGCTCTTCTTTTGAAGCAGGGCTTTAAAATCCTCGTTCCTGCTGGAAGACTTCCCGCTGCTGCCCGCTGCTGCTGGGGACTCACTGGTCGGGGAGCCTGAAGTCTTTACAGGTGAGTGGGAGGTGGGTCGGCTGCTGAAGGTGTCACCAGGTTCTTTCCTGCCCAAGACCTTCCTCTTTGACCTAGGCACCAAAGGGACATGGGTGGGAGCAGCCCTGGACTGGGGTGAAGTCCCACAGCAAGGGGCACAGCGGTGCCCAGAGCTGCCTGTGCCTGCTTCACTGGGGCAAGGTGACAATGCAAGCCTGGCAGGTCATGCTCATGGCAGGACCAACCTGGACCCACCCCTGCAAACTGGTGACCCAGCCTGGCTGTGCTGTGAAGCACTCAAGACAGTACCAGCTGGGCTGCCCCAAGTGTAAGCATCAGCCCATCAAGGAAAATTGAGGTGTTGTGGTGGGGGGAACGCTGCGCCCAGCGCTGTGACTGTGACAGGATGCAGTGGGTACAGGGGCTGTGCCCCCCCAGTGCCATCCACCAGCCTTACCTGTGGATCACTGTGAAGAGATCCTCTGTGGTGCGGGATGTTGTGAACACCTCATCATCCTCCTCCACAATGGACTCGGCTGTCTTGTCGCTGGCAAAGCTCTTCTCCTCTGTGCTGGCCTCTGCYGAGCTGCCTGTGGGCGGGCAGGAGAAGATGGCAGTGAGC